ATTTACGTAACAGATCTGCGTTGGATATCTTGTCGGGCCAGAAGATTCTGAGGATATGGCGCAAGCTGGTTCTATGAAAGGAAGATAGCTTGACACGGTCATGATCAGTCATCCTCCAACATTCAGATCCCTATAGGAGTGTGGAAAGTACACAGCTGTTATACTGCTTTAACGTAGTCTGTATACTAAACTGTCCTGACTTCCAGATGTTGATCATGCTTCTGTGTACAGATCTTGCCTTGCCGAGTCTGTTCATAGAGTGTGCAGAGCGGATCTGGGAAATACGTGAGGTATTCTCCAAGTCTTGCAGTTGCAGCATTGAAGAGGCAGAGGGCTTTGCACAGGACGGGGGAAGAAAAGGAGGTGGAGGAGGAAGAAATCAAGCAATATCAAGCAAACACACACACACACACACATACTCACACACACACACAAACACACTCACACACACACAGACACAAACACACACACACACACACACTCACACACACATACACACACACACCCACAACCACTCACACACACACACACACACACACACACACACACACACCTATCGGGAAAATCAATTTTTGTGCTATAAATACCTAACATTTGAGCACTTGGGTATGAAGAGAAATGATTGAGGAAAAGGAAAATGAAAAAAAACACCAAAAAAACAACACAAAACAAAACAAAATGATTTTCCTGTTGGTAGTCGATTTCTCTCTCTAAATGATGGGTAGACAATGTTAACCCGGACCACCTAATTATGTCAAACGATTTTTAAGCCAGTTTTGTTTAATCTAAAAAGGGGTTTTAATTTTGAAAAATTAAAACAAAAAGAGTTTCGTTTCTATAGTACCAGAGAGTATTTAATTATATTTTAGTGTCTCTGATAGTAGGCCTACCCTTAAAGTCTTCAGCAGTGATAGGCCCCTAAACGCAGTTACACTTTGCCTGGCAGAAGATAAAACAACATTGTGCACGCAAAAGAAGTTACAAATGCCAGAAAAACAAAACAAGCATAGATCTAGCTGAGAAACTTTCTTCCATCCCCTGTCTTCTACATGATGTAAGTTTGGCCTATGGAACAAACGAACTGGCCTCGCAGCCAGATCTGGCTCAAAGGCCGTAGTTTGTTGACCGTTATTAGATAGACCTAGACCTAGATCTAGATCTAGTTTAATCAGAGAGGGTTTGCTGTAAATTCTCTGGTTTGATTATAATAAAAAAAACAGCGGTCGTTTTCAACGAGCGTTAACTGTGACCACACTTGAAACTCACTCTTTTACAATGTGAATAATCTCCCTTGCACTTACGTTGGCAAAGTTTTTGTTTTTTGTTTATGTTGTATTGGGACCTTTTCCTTCCGCAGTGGATGCAGACCCACAACAAGTCGATCTTGACATTTTTACGTATGACCAGTGGTGAGTAGGCCTATGTGTTACCCGCAACCCCCTCTTTTTTTCAGCTCAATCTTTTCCTCTATTTTACGTTTTTTTTTAACGTTCGCAACCATTGACGACCACCATTCATTCCCCATTCGGTGTGCTGTCTGTTTGAAAGTGTTGAATGTTGTTGTTGGAGGTTTTTTTCTCATTAACTTAGGTTTATAAAAAATAAGGGAGGCGAGTCATCCTTAAACTTTTTAAGTCGATGATATTGATTTGTAAGAGTAGTATCCCGTAGAGTCCACCCAGGCTGGGGACCCCTCTTTTGAAGCGGACTGACTGACTAGCCCTACTCCGACACCGACCGTCGACCACTGTCTTAAAATGGCGGCGCCCATCGTAAACTGAAAGAAGTGAAGTAGTTTATTGATCGTGCGATGAGGCCAAATGATTTCAGGTGAGTGGATTTGGAAAAAAATGGCTTAGGTCAAATGGAATTCGATATTGTATTTTTTTCATTTCTTTTGTTTCAATTAAGATTTTTTCTTACTTTACCTGATTTATGAATAGCAGAGGCTATTACCTGGACTGGTGGCATTTTTTTCTTAGGCTTAGAATCTACATGTAACTAGGCCTAATACAAATTTTGACCTTATATCCACTGTAAATTATTAGTTTATGAGATGTGAGATGCTTTAATACAAACTTTACTACAATAGGCTATGTTGGGTAGTAATATTTCACTTGTTTTTCACAAACTGGGAGGTTTCAGGGAGGCATGCCTTAAAAAAAAATCTGGGGGATTTGTTGAGCATCTTGTGTGTGTGTGTGTGTGTGTGTGTGTGTGTGTGTGTGTGTGTGTGTGTTTTAGTTTTAGTAAAAGAGTTATACCGTTTATATTAAGCACTTGCAACACAGTAAGGTCATATTTATATAGATCTAAGTGCCGAAGATTAGAGAGGTGTTGCAAGAGAGTAACAAATAAAAAAAGGAGGAGAGATCAGGATAGATGATGGGAGAAAGAAGGAGCAAACCACACCAGACTGACCATATAGCACCTGCCAACCACCCACTGTGTGTGTGTTGTATTTTGCTTTTTTGTGGGGGGGGGGAGAAGAAGAAGAAGAAGAAGAAGAAGAAGAAGAGGAAGAGGAAGAAGAGGAAGAAGAGGAAGAAGAAGAAGAACAAAACTCTAGCTGCCACCCCACATCGCTACCTTAGAATGACAAAGTCCTTTCTGACATTTTGTAAGCCGTTTTGAGTTACTACGACCTTGAGGTCTGAAACCAAATTAAATAGTGTATGCTCCGTCTACTAATACAATCGTAAAATTATTCGGAGTCAAAGAAGTGCTTTCGAAAAAAGCGTGACATGCTGTAAAACAATATGTTTGACGTCAAATCCCTTAAAATAAAAGTAGGTACTATGATAATGGTAATGGTATAGGTTTAACGCCCCTATCAACACTATTGGGTTATTTAAGGGGCGGGACCTCCTAGTTTAACGTCCGTCTCCGATAGGACCGAGGTACTATGAGCAGATAGAACTTTGTAATTGTTGTGAAACTCAACATGTTTGACGTCAAATCCCTTACAATACAACTAGGTACTGAACAGATAGAACTTTGTAGTTCTGGAGTAGCGATATGTCATTGTTTTGCGTTTGTCCCACCGCGAGGGGTCAAGAGTCAAGACAGACTGAGGGTTTTCTAAACAAACCGTTAGTCTACGGTGGAGTTGGTCAACTGTTTGCTGAGTGAAACGTGATATCTTTCACTTTCACGTCGCTTCAGCCC